AGATACATCCAACGATCGTTTTTATTAGGTTTGTCGAGCGCAATATATACTTTCCGTGTTCGCCGGCGACAAAGCAGCTGAAAATTAGCTTGAAGTATGGAATTACGTTTGGTAACTTCGTTTCCCTGTCTTTCTCAGCATGCGTCGCATAATTTTTGTCATTCCGCGGCAATTATTATCCCTTGAAACGATTTCGCCCGCGTTTTAACGAGTTCATCTTAGTTTATTCATTGCTTTCGAAACAAAAATTTCAAACAGTTCTTCTCTCAGTTCTTTCCTTTTTTTTTCTTTTTTTTTTTACGGCTGTTAATATTTCATTTGTACGTACACACGTATATACGTGAAAGCAGAAACATTAGAAAAAGAATAATCAGGTTACTCGTACGCAAAGTAGCTCGTTTTTAACTCGAAAATAAAATCAAATAGGTGTGTGTGTGTGTGTGTGTGTGTGTGTGTGTGTGTGTGTGTGTGTCTGACGACCAAAATCGTTGGCAAGATCTCATCAATTATCCGAAATCGTATCAATTACTGTCACTACAATAGTGAGGCGATAAGATCTCGAGATCGAGGTCCGTACAATCTGCGAGGTCTCGCACCTTGCTTGGTTAATCCACTAGCGTCTCTCCTGCCGATTGGTTAACCTACTGTCGTCTCTTTGATTTCAAAAGGGAGCAAACGAAGCCTAGCTTGGATATGAGGAAGTCTCCCGAGGGAGACTGCGTGGTATTGTACCGCACTCTCTCTCTCTCTCTCTCTCTCTCTCTCTCTCAGTCTCTCTGTATGCTCTTTCCGTCCCTATCCGGCTCTATGCTCCGCGCGGGCGCTTTCTCTCTATAGATCAAGATGAGAGGAGTCGGCCGGCTGGAAAATCGCTTTAAACCTCCCCAACTAATATTAACTTTCTCTCCTTTCGTTTCGCGAAATTCCCCAACTCTTTTTTTCCCCCGCCGGTTGCTCCCTCGCATACCGGACCGGACTGTCGGACGAGGAGGCCCGGGCATTTTACGGAATCAGCCGATCAATTTCTTCCTCGCTCCAAGTGCTTTCTTCTTCATTAGATTCTCCTAGATTTTCTTTAGGTCAGAGGCGGCGAACTTCTTCCTCGCCGCCGGCCGCACCGACTGCCAGTTCCTCCGTAAAAAAATTGGCTGCTTCATACAAACTAGTTTCCCTATCCTTTTTTTGTAACTTTTAGCAGCTATAGTGAAGGAAACAATTTACATACATGTGTAATGTAGAGATAGAATATAAATGATATTTGTATTTAAAAGTAGTTAGTGATAAAACAATTAGGACACAGATTAACAACTCAAATAAAATCTGTTTTAACACACAATCATATTTTCTTTTCATGCGTTCCTACGGTCGGTAAATATTATGAGCAATCTAGTGTAATTAAATGTAATTGAAAATATAATAACTACAGATTATATAATCTACGATACTACGCTAACGCGAATACCGTGGCTGTGACATTCTCTCAACTGGCAGTGGAGGGGATAGCGATGAGGAAAGTGGTGGGGGGAGCCGCCAGTTAGCCACTTGTGGTCTAAAAGATATTCGAACGAAGGTTGCAAGAGTGCTTCCTGATTAGATGATTTCCTCCTATTTCGTTCCTACGCGATAGTTATCGCGTTCATAGTTCACCGAGCAATCTTGTCTTTCTCTTGTATCTCCCCTCGAGTGACGATCAAACGAGACGAAATGAGATCCAACGCTCATGGATCTATACGAGTATCTTTCAATTGAGATGCAACATTTCATGGGCAAGATTCCTTCCAAAAAGTTGATGAAAATTCAATCTTCTGATCGCCAATGTAGGCCAAGCAACGTTGTCGATCGAGATCTTCGCAAGAATACGAAACGACCGTTAAAAGTACACGTAGAGAATTACTCAGTTGTTGCCGGATAATGGACGCAAGTACGAAACAGAATTATCAATGCGATGCCGTTCCAACTTTCGTCCCGTTAATTATCGTGCACTTAACGTCGCGGCACACGCTGCGCCAGCCACCGTGACCAAGAACTTTTCCCTCGGGAAAGCCACGAGAGAGCGAGCGACGATGACTTTTAAAGTTCGCAGATTTATAGCCGGGGCCTGGTAACCGTCTCGGGCAAGAAGGGCCTTGGAAGGAAACGACGAGAAGGCTCGCGGTGTCAAAGACCGCGTCTCTGTTTCGAGCGAGTAAGTTTATCCGAGCTGACAAAACCCTCTCTGGATCCTTGGCTTCTTCCTTGGTTCGCGCAAGTCGAGGTCTAGGCGTGTCGCGAGTCACTGTTCAAACAGGCCAACAATCGGCCTGCGACGAGCAGAGATTCGCCGTCCGATGAAGCTTCTCTCTAAAGAGAGCGCACGAGACTCTTGAAATTTAAACAGCTGGAAAAACTCGTTGCTAGCGGCGAGATTTCGCTCTCTCGAACGGATGGAACGCCAGGCGGAAAATTATGGAGGAACGTGCACAGACGGCCGGCAAGATAATCCGTTTGGATGAGATTCGGGGAGGGGCAGGGTCCTCCTAGAAGCGACGCGTAACGCGCCGTCCCACGAGGACGATTTCAAACGCGTGTAATTCGAACGACCGTCGTCGTGCCGGCGAAAATGGCGCGCAAGTTTCAAAAGCGTCCCTCCTCCCGTTCGACTAAGGCTAATTAAACACAGTGCAACTTTTTGCCAAGCCGCCGCGGCATATGATCAACCCGCGTGAAATTCGATTTGTTAATACTCCTCGCGTCGGCTCGATCGGTTCTTCGTTATCGAGTTGTTTACAGAGTTTTCTAAACTAAATTTAAATTGTTATTCATGTTTTCATTTACTTCTGTATTTTATACTTCAGCTTATTGTTGTGTAAAATAAATATATGTGAAGATGTTACTGCCAAGTCAATGTAAATTTCATGCACTTGTTTGCAATCCATCGATTGTTCATTTTATTAAAAAAAAATATATATATATATTTTTTTCTATACAAACATTTGTAATGTTTAATTTTTTAAAACTTTGAACAACGAATCACT